CTCTCTCTCTCTCCTCTCTCTCTCTCTCTCTCTCTCTTATCTCTCTCTCTCTCTCTCTCTCTCTCTCTCTCTCTCTCTCTCTCTCTCTCTCTCTCCGTACAAAGACTAGAACATTCCGTTCAGAAAACAATCAGGTAGGAAACAAAAGGAATAGATCGTCACAGATTAACCGCTAAAACTGTCCTTGTCTTAAAATCAGGTATAAATGGACTGGCTCTCACCAACTACAAATAGCTACCTCTTGGGATCTAACATCTCGCATGCACTAATCCTGTTATGGCGATGGAATCGAACCTGGGCTTAATCGAAATATATGTACCATTTCGGTTAACGTACACGTTTTCATATGACATTGGTACGTCAGATACATATATGTCCCAGGCGACATAATGGCACTACCATCACTTCAGTAGGCAACTATTCCACAATCTCTTTTAAGTCGCCGTCAGTTCTTCGTTGATAAGGCGCTCTCCAGTGGGGGGAGCCTCTGCGACCGGTGGCTTGAGTTCGAAGGCGTGCAGTGTACGTTCCAGGCCGGTCCGCCACGACCCAGAGCGTGGTGCCAGCCTGGGCTCTTACCGCCTCCTCAGCGACCCAGCACGCGTGTCAAATGGTTCCCGGGTGGGACGACCCCCGGCCCAGGCAACAATACGCCAACACTCCGATGTTCTCTCGCACAGGTAACCGCGGAGGCGGCCAGCGGTGACTGAACATAGGGCTGCCGTGTTGTGGCAGCGGGCTGCCGTGTTGGGGCAGCGGGCTGCCGTGTTGGGGCAGCGGGCTGCCGTGTTGGCGAGCCCGCTGCGGTGGGGCAGCAACTAGCAGCTCGAGGCGAGCGGCTCGAAACTCGAGGCGGGAACGGCTCGAGACTCGAGGCGGGCGCAACCCGAGACTCGAGGCGGGAGCGGCCCGAGACTCGAGGCGGGAGCGACTCGAGACTCGAGGCGGGTGCGACTCGAGACTCGAGGCGGCAGTGACTCGAGACTCCAGGCGGGAACGGCTCGAGACTCGAGGCGGGCGCGACTCGAGACTCGAGGCGGGAGCGCTGTGCGCTCAGGCAGCAGCTGGGGTGGCTAGCCAGAGCGCTGCGCCCTGTCGAGGGCAGCTGTCGAGGCGGTCGGTGCTAGAGCCAGGTCAGAACGGTACGCTGGGCACCCAGGGCTGGATGAGCTGAGGATATGGAGCGGAATCAGCGCATGGCCTGCGAGATCCAGCCTCGTCCACCACCGCAAAACACGCAACAACTGGGCCAGTGCGAGGCAAATGAACGTTATGTCACTTCGGACATTTCAAACGACCACCAGATCCGTCAGCTGTCCGCCTTGGAGAGGTCTGTGGAAAGTCCTCGGCCAGGCTGCCAGCGGCAGCCGGGCGGGCGGCGGGCGAGCGGCCGGCCGCGGCGCCGCCTCCGCGGCTCCGGCGGCAGCGCGCTACGCAGCTGACGGTCGCAGGTGAAAGGGGCCGCCGTGCCGGCCGGACCGCGCCGCCTGTCGACACGGCGCGGCCTTCGAGCGGCGCCGGCCGCCCACAGAGCAGCCGCCCCAGCTGGGGAGGCGAGGGTCGGCCGGCGGCCAGCGGCGCGGACGATCGGCAGCTGCCGGCTGACGAGGGACAGCCGCCGGCGGCGCTGACCACCACCGGCTGTCGCTGACGAGAGCGAGCCTCCAGCGGCGCTGACGATCAGCAGCTGCCGGCTGACGAGGGACAGCCGCCAGCAGAGCCGACATCGGGCATTTGCAGGCGGTGTGGACCACAGCTCCGGCGCCAGCTAGCAGCGGGGACGACAGCTCGACTGGCCGTCGGCCCGAGAGACCACCAGAGAGGGACTAAAACCTCAGGTCAGCTCACCGGAGAGGAGCTTCACCTCTGTGTCGGCCCGCCGGAGAAGGGATTGATGAAACTCGGATCGGCTTGCCGGGAATGTGATTGAGCCTTGGGCAGGTTGGCCTGGACTGAGCGTGGCTCAGCCCGGCCTGAGCAGCAGGGCTCAGCCCGGCCGGAACAGCAGGGCTCAGCCCAGCCTGAGCAGAGGGCTCAGCCCAGCCTGAGCTCAGGGCTCAGCCCGGCCTGAGCTCAGGGCTCAGGCCGTCCTGAACAGCAGCGCTCAGGCAGATGGGTCGGTCATCCCCCGGCGGGCAGGCTTCCAGCCAGGCGGCGCCCGCCCGACTTACCACTCTCTCCGCGTAAACAGACGGTGAAATTTTGGAGAAACACAAGTTTGATTACCTACAAACATGTTGACTAATGCCCAGAGGAGGTGGAGAGCGGCGCTGTCCCTGCATGTGGCTGCTCGGAGCCCACGGTCGCCTTGAGGCCGGCCCACCGCCGCCAGCAGGCCACGGACTTGTGGGTCGAGGCTGGGAGTCGTGACGCAGTCCCCCCCCCCCCCCCCCCCACTCGGCGATTGTCCTAAACAGATGGTGAGCTGGGCAGGGCGGTTGCAAAAGCCGGTGTGCCAGTACAAACTGCGGCAGGTGAGCAGAAGACACGGTGCGGAAATGTCTCGGCCGGATCAGCCCGGGGCGAGAGAACACCAGCCTAAGTCAAACGGTGGCCCGTTCCAAGACTTGGCAGAATTCCAACCCAATCGTACGCCCTGGATTTCGACCGTCGGACATTTTCAGACATTTCGGTGACGAGACGAACAACCTCTCCGGCAGAAATTTGGGCCGCATCCACTAAGGGCATCAACCTGGCCACTGTCTCCCAATAAGCCTCACGGGACAGTTAAGCAAACTTACTTTCCTGGAAGCAAAAACACTGCATATTGATGGATCGGAAATCATAACAATTAGTAGAGGTTTGACACATAACTTGACAAATCACATACATCGGTGTGGAGGTCTTGTCTAAAGTTGTGCCACTCTACGGAATCCTAAGTCGTCGCACATCGAATTTGGCCTGCATAATCAAGTAACACAATCACAATTTGATCTGAACCAACTTCCGGCACGCCACCCTAAACTGCCCTCCCAAACCTGATCTCATCCCACACAAGGTCGACTGTTTCACGTCTTTGGTTGGCCTCCTCCTTGGCTTTCTTTCCTGTCTGCTTTGAACCTTCTGCGCGGCGAAAGAGCTGCACGAGTTGTAGCCCCATGCTTAAGAGTTCTGGTAGAGGCGACAGTCAACGTAGTGTGATTTTAGAGAAATTTATCGCGTTTCGTGCCGCATGTAGGCGTTGGTTGTGGCACTTCCGCCAACCTAAAAGCTTGGCCTGCCGACGTTTGTCCGCTGTAGAAACTGGCGTCGATGATGATGACTGGGGTTGGGATGGAGTCGAGATGATTAGGGAAAAGTGGCGTTGAGGCTGTGGCTGCAGATGTCCTTGATAGCGCGTCACAGTCGTGCTACGCGAATTTCTGGCATTCTGAACGCGCTGGCAGCACCAATAAAGGTCCAGCATTTGCGGTGTAGTAAGAGACAGGTGAATTGAAAGTGAAGTGTTCCTCGGACGCTCGTTTACGGTCTTGTGCATACCACCCACACAGGTCGTCAATTTCAACATCAGATGGAGCGTAATGCAACACAAACAACAGTTCAAAACAACATAAATGACAAATAAAAATATATGGCTGCCTTGGACGCTCAGCGGCTCAACTTATGAACAGCTGCAGCTGTCTGTTACAGCTGCACCCAAAGCAAGCTGCGTAGTGTCAGATTCATCGGGCGTCTTTTTGAGCCCATGGACAGAGTGGTGACCGCTACTGTACTGCGCGGTGTGCCAACGGTGTGATGACAGAGGGTGGAATCTGCGCCCGCTCCAACGGTGTGATGACAGAGGGTGGAATCTGCGCCCGCTCCAACGGTGTGATGACAGAGGGTGGAATCTGCGCCCGCTCCAACGGCTTGTGATGATCAGAGGGTGGAATCTTGCGGCCCGCTCCAACGGTGTGATGACAGGAAGGGGTGGAAATCTGCGGCCCGCTCCAACCGGTGTGTATGACACGCAGGGTGGAATCTATCTGCGCCCCGCTCAACGGGTGTATGTAATGTGTACTGAGGGTGAATCTGGGTCCGGCTCCAACGGCGTGATGACAGAGGGTGGAATCTGCGCCCGCTCCAACGGTGTGATGATAGGGGATGGAATCTGCGCCCGCTCCAACGGTGTGATGATAGGGGATGGAGTCTGCGCCCGCTCCAACGGTGTGATGATAGGGGATGGCCTCCTATTTCGACCAGAGGAGAGATCAGAAGTCGATTGAGTTAAGAGGGTGACGATCAGGCGGGTCCAGGAGCCATATGGGGATAGGTTAAAGCTCTTATCGCTGCTGTCCATATAACACTTCTGGCGTAGGGGATGCCATGACCCTGCCACGTAATATCCTAAATGGACGTCCTGGCACAGGAGAGAGCTCCTCTAAGATGTGCGGATGCCTGCCGCCAGAAGCCATTCGTAAAGGTTCGCTAAGCCCCAAGTGCTGTCAGCGGTCCGAATGAACCACCAGAGCATGCGACCGGCCCACCCACTGGAACGCTCCGCCGGAGCGCATCGCCCGGGCGCCCTTGTTCAACCAGTTCGAAAAAAACTCAGGTCAAGAACTGGACGGAGCGCGTCGATCTGGCTTCGACACAGAACTGGTTACTCAGTTTGTGCGGAGATCAACGAGATGGGGCGAGAGAGCTTCAAAGTTTCCTAAGAAACAACACATGGCCACATTTATAAACAGGTTAAAAAATATTCGGTCTCACGAAAGCTCCTCAGCATAGTGACGAGGTAAGTAAAAGCAAAAACGCCAAAACATCAAAGTAAGGAAAACGTCATTTTGCCATATCTCCACAATTGTCGTGTAAACTTTCTCACCCCATGGTTTAGCCACGAATAAGAAGTTGGGAAAAACGACAATCAAGGTTTTTCGAGCCCTCCTGTTTCGTGTAGCACCGAAGGCGTAGTTTCATCCCCACAATAGTTGCTGGACGCCCCCCCCCCCCCCCTCCAGAATTGCCCCGCTACCATCCGAAATATCTCGTTTGTGCCACAGCCCAAAACCGTCGCTTACCTGCGTGGCATCTGTGTAAGGCGTGGAGGAGTTCTCAGCACTTCTGATCACCCGCAGGATCCCCTGATCGACCAGCATCCCGCCGCCTTCGCCCTTGCCGGGTCTGCGCTCCGCCAGCTCACTATGCTCGCCATGGGGAAGCATGGCCGCCGACCGCCGTGCGCTGCGGACTCCCCAGGGGGGGGGGGGGCACCTCTGCGGTCAGACAGAGGTCAGGTCCTGGCCACGGGACCGTCGCGACGCGCCGCACGCCCCCCGCGACGGCTCTGGAGGGACTGCCGCGCTCGCCCAGCCGTCCGCGGCGTAGTGGCGAGCAGCTGATCTAGTGAGGCCAGCTGTTCCACGGCGGTCACGGCACCCACCAATCAGCGCGCCGCATGGCCTGTGACGTCACGCGCGCGTTCGGATCGCATTATTGGCAGGCTGGCGGCGCAGCGCTGGCTGTGGCTGCCGGAGCCGAGCGGCCGTGACCCGGGTGTGACCCAGCTACACAACGGCGCCCGGGATTGTGGCTGGATCCCCTCTCTTAGACTAATTAGTGTGGAACGCACTCGCACAATGGATCCTACGAAAGCTGTGTATGAGCGCAGAGATTAGTACTGATTTTAGCATAGGCTCGGATGACACGCGAGCGGAATGCGACCGTTGCTCTGCTCCTCTGTTACAGTGTTGGCTGACAACTGAGCGTTCCCCTGTGTCGAAAATAGGATGAGAACACACCATCTGATTACATGCTCGCTACTTTAAAGCCGAGGTCTTCTTGAAGCCATAGGCCGACCAAACACGCAACGTCCTCCAAAATATCAGCCCTGCCTCCCAGTCCGCCTCACCAGCTCGTAAAAGCCCGCTGGGCTACATTGCTGACCCACCACTAGCCCCCAAGTGCGCTTTGATCATTTCACCTTAATATAGACCTGTACATCAAAGAGCGCATAGAATGGCATGCCAGTGTCATATAATGCACATCATTGCTTGGCTCATACCAGTGATGCAGCTTAGAGAGCAGCAACCAAATTACATGGACAATGCAATTTCTAATGCACTTGAGCAGATCTTAAGCACTCTGATGTTAGTTTTCAAATGAGTTGAGAAGCAATAAGGGTAGAGTTAAATCGGCTTATTACCAAAATGTGCCAAAGATTATGTACCCTTCTACCTCATCTCCACAGGGCATTGGAAATTTCTCCCCAATTTGCATGCATCAAGTGATAATTTTACATTAACAGGGTAAAATATGCTGGATGTTTCAAGTCATGGGCAGTCTCCTCAGTTCATTGCACTACGTTACGACAAACATCATTTGACTGCGTCGCAATTGCAACAACATAACCCGCATTAAAGAACCAGAGACAGTTTCTGATATGATGTGAAACACTTATTTCAGTGAGATGAGATCTCATTTCAGTGACATGATTGCTTAACGCCGTTTAAAATGTGCAATCTGTTTTGTTTGCAATGTGCAATCTGTTTCACTGTGCAATGTGCAATCAATGTGCAATCCGTTTCACTGCTTTGTCATGTCTGCCAAAGATTTCCAGAAACTCATTTTATTTTCTGGTGGCGCCCCGCTGGCACTAACGTCAAGGCATTTCGGGTCATTTCTTTTCATGCACCACCTCGTGAGCAGTAATAATGCATTTCCTCAGTGTAAGGGGGGGGGGGGGCTTGAGCCCCAAAATCCCCTCCCCATAACGCGAACGTCTCCGCGCCTGTGTCTGGTGGAAAAAAAAGCATGTCAAACACGAAACGGAGTGATGAATGAACTGGCTGTTCATTGTACGCCCAAGAAATGTGTTGACAACATCCCATACAAAATCCTGCAGACGAATCTGAAGTAGCTGCATTGTAGATAGCGGATTCAACTATCGAGCAAACATTAGCTTTCCTCGATATCAGACCACCACACAGCTTGCTTTTCTTATCTGCACGGCAAGAGCAAAGAGGCGGCCTCCTACGCGAGATGATGTTTTTTGCACACAAAGCAAACCATCAGCATACTTCGCAGGCAAACAGGCTGCGTCGGTGGCGCCGTCGGATAGTGCCGGGGGCGGTGTCCTGGGACGTTCCCCTCCCCTCCCCCCTGTCGCTCCCAATCCTCCCGGCGCGCTCCCCCGGCGTGTTCAGGTGCTGAGCTTTCCTGGACGAAAACATCGCTGGAGCGGCCCAGGCAAGTGCCGTTCCAGATGACCTGGCTCCTCGGTGGTGCGTCACCGGAGCAGACCAAACAGATGCGTTTCAGATGGCCTGGCTCCTCGGTGGTGCGTCACCGGAGCAGACCAAACAGATGCCGCTTCAGATGGCCTGGCTCCTCGGTGACGCGTCACCGGAGCAGACCAGGCAGATGCCGCTTCAGATGGCCTGGCTCCTCGGTGGCGCGTCACCGGAGCAGCCCAGGCAGATGCCGCTTCAGATGGCCTGGCTCCTCGGTGGCGCGTCACCGGAGCAGACCAAACAGATGCCGCTTCAGATGGCCTGGCTCCTCGGTGACGCGCCGAAGTTCCTTGTAACGGCAGCGGAGTTTTAACAACGCCAGCACTCGGCACTACGTATCGCAAGGCGCTAGTGGGTGGGGAGGGGTACAACACCATTGCTGGTTCCGCAGCCAAAGTGTCTGGGCCCTCCCAAAAAGAGTGGCAGCTTCTGTAATTAGATACCTGCATGCTTTACCTTGACGCTTTACCATGCTCTACCTTTTACTTTATTGTCCCCTTTGTCCTTGACTGTTCCAACAACACGGCCAGTGAGACTTCGAGCTAGGTGGAAGCGCGGCTATCGACCAAGGTACGGCGTGCAGACCGAGCGGGCAACCCCGCCATTGACCGTGAACCTGGCGTGACCGGGCCCTGCCGCCCGGGCGGCCTCGGACCGGCCGGCCGGCTGCCCGCGCCCGGCACGGCCAGCCCCGCACACTGGCGGTCGGAGCACCGCCGCTCCTGCAGCCGGCAGCCGGAGCACGGCCGTTCCTGCAGCCGGCAGCCGGAGCACGGCCGTTCCTGCAGCCGCCGGTCGGAGTACCGCCGCTCCTGCAGCCGGCGGCCGTAGCACCGTCCCTCCTGCAGCCAGCGGCCGGAGCACGGCCGCTCCTGCACCTGGCGGCCGGAGCACCGCCGCCCCTGCAGATGGCGGCCGGGGCACGGACGCTCCTGCAGCCGCCGGCCGGAGCACCGCTGCTCCTGCAGCTGGCGGCCGGAGCACCGCTGCTCCTGCAGCCGGCGGCCGGAGCACGGCCGCTCCTGCAGCCGGCGGCCGGAGCACCGTTCCCCCAGCAGCCGGCAGCCGGAGCACGGCCGCTCCTGCAGCTATCGGCCGGAGCCACACACCCGCTGCGCTAGCGTGTCCCTGAAGCCGCCGCGCTGGCACGGGCCGGCCATGTTCGGCAGCGGCCACGCGAGGGGAGCAGGCAGGGGCGGGCGGGACGGCAGACCGGACGGCTCCGTTTTTGTGGGGCGGTCGTGAGCGCGGGGTCCGACACGCTCGGAGCGGCGCTCCTGCGCGGGGTCCGCCACGCTCGGAGCGGCGCTCCTGCGCGGAGTTGTCGCCTTGCCGATAGCCGCATGCGCTACAGTCCTGCGCGTGCCAACTGGGCCCGTCCTGACACGGAACGGATCGTCTACCGGCTGGTGACGACACTGCTCGACTTAGAAATGCTTGCCGGCTTACCACAGACAGAGGCGGGCGACCCGGTCCGGGCCACAGACGGCTGCTCGGACAGCCGGCCCTTGTGGCCCGGCTCGGACGGCTGTTCCTGGAGTCGGTGGCGCCGACGCGCCCGGCCCGCCGCCCTTTAAAAACGCGTCCAGACCGCCGCAGTGGCTGATCACCGGTCCGGCCGCTTTTTTGTCGGTCGACCTTTTAGATTGTGATGTCCAGAATGTTGACAGATGCGTCAGTATGGGACTGGCCTCCTGTCCCGACAGATGCGTCAGTATGGGACTGACCTCCTGTCCTGAAAGAAGCGTCAGTATGAGACTGGTCTCCTCTCCTGACAGATGGGTTGGTCTCCTGTCCCGACAGATGCGTCAGTACGGGACTGACCTCCTATCCCGACAGATGCGTCAGTATGAGACTGACCTGTCCCGACAGATGCGTCAGTATGGGACTGGCCTCCTGTCCCGACAGATACGTCAGTATGGGACTGACCTCCTGTCCCGACAGATGCGTCGGTATGGGACTGACCTCCTGTCCTGAGAGAAGCGTCAGTATGGGACTGGCCTCCTCTCCTGATAGATGTGTTGGTCTCCTGTCCCGACAGATGCGTCAGTATGGGACTGACCTCCTGTCCTGACAGATGCGTCAGTATGGGACTGACCTCCTGTCCCGACAGATGCGTCAGTATGGGACTGACCTCCTGTCCCGACAGATGCGTCAGCATGGGACTGGTCTCCTGTCCTGAGAGAAGCGTCAGTATGGGACTGGTCTCCTCTCCTGACGGATGGGTTGGTTCCTGTCCCGACAGATGCATCAGTATTGGTCTGACCTCCTGTCCTGACGGATTCGTTGGTCTCCTCTCCTGACAGATGCGTCAGTATGGGGCTGGTCTCCTCTCCTGGCAGATGCATTGGTCTCTTCTCCTGACAGATGCGTCAGTATGGGACTGGTCTCCTCTCCTGACAGACGTATGGGACTGGTCTCCTCTCCTGACAGACGTATGAGACTGGTCTCCTCTCCTGACAGATACAAAATGGCTCTGTGGTGGTCAGTGAACGTCACTGTGCGTCCTACGAGCGACTGAGAAATATGGCAGGCGTGGTAAGTGTTGAAGCACCATGAAATGGTACTTAAGAGCTGCAGTAGGTGACGCACTGTGGCGGCTTCGCAAATAGCGAGCGATTATCGGTCACGGCACGTTTACCAATCTCATGGACCCGGAAATGACTTCCATTTAATTCACTGATGCTATGGTAAAGGTGACTCGTTACGCCGCCCATAGCCATTTTGGATGGTAGCAGACCATGATGCTTTCACCATGGTCTGCCCTGAAAACATCGTGGTAACAGACTATGATGTTTTCAACAGAGAATGTGTGAGACGTAGAAAGTGTGCCCAAAACGAAACATTCCCTTCAGCTGAAGAGCAGGACTGGGTTTTCGGCTTGCTAGTCAGCGTCATTATCACTGATCTGGGCCAATTCTTCCAAACATTGTTTGATACGGGTGAACAGCTGTCCAAACGCCCACTAATGCGGTCAGGATACTCGGCAACTTAGCTATGCTGGGAAGGCGAACAATTGTTTTTATTGTATGTATTCTATACTGCACTCTGTGCAGTTTACGAGACAAACCGGAT